GGTGACTGATCGTAGAGAGGATCCAAGGGCTAAGCTAGGATAGAGTTCGGGTAATCTAATATAGTCACTAAACGGGTATCTAACCCTAATGATCGTAAAGGGGTGATTGATCGTAAAGGGGATCCAAGGGCTAAGGATAGAGTTCGGTGCAACCACAGGAGTCCGTATCTAAAAATAGACGCCCTCATGCATATTCATGACGCCCTTCGGGCTCGCGTGTGGAGATGGTCATGAATATGCATGAGGGCGTCTATTTTTAGATACGGACTCCTGTGGTGTAACCTACCCTAACACTAGCGACAGTTGGATGTGTTCAGCGCCAATATAATATCCCTAATAAACTGCATTCTTGTTCATAATAATAAAAATTAACGAACCGAAAAAATATATTTGTATATTAGTTCCCATTTATAACCATTTTAGCTACTTGAAATACGAGATAAAACGAAACAATGCTGATGCACGACGGCTGTTAAAATTGTTGTGTCAATGAGAGGTCTTGTCAAAACAAACCTTGATTAAAAAGCCTGCTGAACATGCAACTCGAGTTGATTGTCTTTCCAACAGTATCTAAAGTGACCAAATCCAAAAGATCTTTGCACTGCCTAGCCCTCGGTTAACGTGCTGTCTGATATTATAATAGTTGCGTGTACGTGACATGGGTGCTTCATAATTAAGAAATCGCCGTCATTCGCATAAAGTGCAACATGGCAGAAAAAGGTCGAGAGGCGCGGTAACCACTTTACTAATCTCGCCATATTTCGCAATCCGTAGCACTGCATAAAATATGAGTCACACGATATTAATGCTGAGATGATTAGGGTGATGATGGTTATAATTTCATTCAATGAACGTCATAAGTGTAATGGAAATATACACTGTCGTTTTCTCATGTGTACCGACCATTCCGCCATTACCGAAAGTCGATAAAAATATACAAAACGTGTAATAAACTTGTTCGTAAAGGAGTGAACAGAATTGTATTTACGTGAATAAGTAGACAGTTGGGAAAAATGTCTTTCTGACCACTCGGGTCATATTATTTCTTATGAACAAGAATTTTGTCTGAAAATATTTATGTGTATGTGACATGGGTGCATAATCAAAATTCGCCGTCATTCGCTTGGTGTTCAAACATGTCAGAAAAAGGCCGAGAAGAGGGGTAGCCACTTTATATTACTAATCTCGCCATATTTCGCAATCCGTAGCATTGTATAAAGTGTGAGTTACACGATGTTAAAGCTAAGATGATTGGGGTGATGATGGTTATAGTTTTGACTTTGCGCACCCAGTGTTTGATATCAAAATTCACAGTTTATAAAGGGCATTTTCTCGGGACCATATGTGGTCCGTTGGCACTATGCGGGTGTAGAAAGTGAGGGTACCATGAGGGTAACCACTAGACTACCCGACCGCCCCACGACGTTAGAAAGGGACGTTGTTGTAACGTCTTGATTTGGTTGTATTTTGGGTTACGCGCAACGTTGTAGCAACCAATCTGGGAGTCTACAGATTTACGTTGTGGCAACGTTACATCACAACGTAGAATTGTTTTCTGGTACGCCATCAGCTTAATAACGTGGTAAATTAGACGACGTTATGTTTGAGAGAGAATCATCAAAGCAGATAAAAGGAAGGGCCGAACGATCACATCTGAAAGTGGAAGATCTGAAAATCGATATTGGGAGAAAATATTTAGATTATCGCCGTGAAAATTGTGAGAATATCAGTAAAACACAAAACTTAACTCATCTGTTCATAAAATGAACTTTTAGAACCAACATTGCCGAGATCGATTTGTATTCTGGGAATCACGGGTAAGCTAGACTTGATGATTTACTTGCCGTCATGATAGAGCCGGAAGGTTAATTATTAACAGTGTCACTAAACGACTAGGGGCGGTCGGGTATCCTAGTGGTTAAAGCGTTCGCTCGTCACGCCGAAGACCCGGGTTCGATTCCCGACATGGGTACAATGTGTGAAGCCCATTTCTGGTGTCCCCCGCCGTGATATTGCTGGAATATTGCTAAAAGCGGCGTAAAACCATACTCACTCACTCACTCACTAAACGACTGATGGCTCTTAATGCTAATTAGATGGTTCACTTGTAGACTTATTGTTTGACGTTGAAGGCAGTGTGGATGACACATACATTCTTGAGATACAAAGAATCTTAAGATTTTCCTATTGAATTTAAGAATAATTTCATATTCGTAGATTGTAAAACAATCTTAGGATGTTTGGTTCCTGATTCGCCTAGTTGCTAGTGCTTAGGACGATGGGTTAGTATCGGTTCCCTGTCTACGGTAATCGGCTGATTGGGTCTCTGGTGGCCGCTGCAAGTTGCAGGCTTGCTCACTGCGTTTTGAGCAGGAATATTTCTGAGGCCTTGACCGCCAACGTGTCGGACTGCCAATATTAATATGAATAGGTTCATTGATGTCGTTGGAAAAGTGCATAGAGTGGCATAAAGACACAAACACAGAAATTCATTGTTTTACATTGTGTAAAACCTACCTGAAAGATCGATATCATAACATCAGTGATAACATAGGTGTGTATGTTGAATTATTTTGTGAACTTAACAAAGACGTAACAATGCAGGGACATTCTTACATTTGGTTGCGTGTTCATTTGGAGATATATACTTCCATACTGTTGGCTTTAGTAGCATCAAGTTTCAAATTTGAAACATTAACAGGATGCAGGAACCAATATGAATATATAATTCGGAAATATCATGTTCAACTCCATTGTCGGTGCCATCTACATGTTCATGTTATGACCCTCCAAAGGCACCAATGTGACGTCAAGCACTTTCTTTCAGATGAACAATGGAGTCAGTGGTCTTCCACAAGTTCATGCTTACCTACATGTGGATCCGGAAGAACCATTATATACTCCAGGGTGCGTAGTGTCAGCACATTTGACTTTGTATGTAGTCTCAAATCTGAAACAAAAGAAGAACATTGTCCGCCTGTTTTATGCCCAGGTGAGTATATCAATAACTTGAACCTTATTTGATGCTTTAGATTTATCACTATTCTCATATTCCACGCACACATTCTATAAAATTAATTCTTGTATTTCACGTGCCTCTGTCCTTCGGGATCATTCCTAACTTCGTTCTGTAGATGTATACAGTAACATCCAACTCACTCACTCTTTCGTTGGACTAGTGAAGTAAGTTTTATCTTATGTGTAGGTATATTTTCCAATTACACTCAAAAGCCTCCGTTTATAAAAGTGGATTTTTTGCTTGCCATTAAAACGATTAAGTGCATATAAAGGGGTTAATAGCTTAACTGTTACTAAAACAGTCAAATGTATTCCTTGTCTTTACAATCTTGATCTTATATTTACGAATATCTGCGTCTGTCTTTGTAATTCACTCAATTCTCAATCCACACATAGTACAAAGTGAGTGGGTCCCAATGCAATAGTCGAGGTGTCCACATTATCGAAGTGTGAGGATTATCAGTTAATCATGAAAGTGACAAACTTTCTGAACTATTATTAATCGCAGAGTTTAGAGTGTTTGAATAGAATGTTGTTAGTTCTCTCTTCGTTTATGCTACACATGAATGTCCACACATTGATGACTTCTTTCTTTCCTTACAAGAATCGGACTAACTCTGCTTTAAAACATTCACTACATTCGAAGTGATGACTTTCATTGCCGAATATTTCCAATCTCTACAACAGCAATTTAATCATCAGTTTAATACCTTGCAAATGCCACATTTTACTGTACTAACTAAGCCTTTGAGCAGGGTTGTCCTGTTTATCCTTAACTAATGCAGTTCAACTATAGTAAATAATAGATTAAACGAACAAGGATCACATGTCACTCGTAAATGAATTGCACCCAAATCGTGTCAGTCAAAACCGATAACAAGTGTTCAGGATGTAAGATTAAATGTAAATGGTTTGATAGATGTGTATGTCACATGTTACATGTGTATGCAACGGTCACAATTGCAAATATGTCTAATTGTAATACGCCTAGAACGATTTAAAATGCATATGTTGACTTAATTATTGCAAAAGAAATAGGAAATCTTTGTCTCTTCAGTTGATGGTGTTGTTTCCACTTGGAGTGTTTGGAATGACCCCATTTGTTCTGTGACCTGTGGCGCATCAGCAACGAAGATCAGAAGTAGGACGAGAACATGTACACCTCCCCGATATGGTGGCAACAGCTGTCCTTCACCCTTAACTGAAACTCAAACGCAAAGCTGTGGCTTAAATGGCTGTCCAGGTACACAAGTTTTATGCACTCAAGTTACTAGTGCACTCAAACATAAAACGTAGAAGTAATAGACACGTTATATGTGTTACTTATTTCAGTTGTTGGAGGTTATGCTGCCTGGAGTGAGTGGTCCCCGTTTCCCTGCTCTGCAACATGCGGAATTAATGTCACATCAGTTCGGACACGGTCAAGGACCTGCACCAACCCAGTGCCAAATCATGGGGGAGCACCCTGTTCAGGTCCCTCTTTTGAAAGAAGCTCTTTCCCTTGTGGCCTTAACTCATGTGCAGGTACGATTGGATATAAAACACTTGCAGCTATATCCATGTTGGGGAAAACCTACTTTGTTTTATGTGACTCATTCGATCGCATGCTTAAAATAAATGCAAAACGTTTGTCTAAGACGAGAAATAATGAAGATATTGTTTTATTCAGTTGATGGAGTTGTCTCTACTTGGAGTGTTTGGAGCAATCCTCCATGTTCTGTGACGTGTGGAGCATCAGCAACAAAGACCAGAAGTAGGACGAGAACATGTACACCTCCCCAGAACGGCAGACAGGACTGTTCCGGAGATTTGACTGAAACTCTAAGCCAGAACTGTTTCTTATGTGAATGCCCAGGTATCTAACAAGTACACCTTCTACTCCAATAACAAACATCACTACAGTTACATTTTGAGACAAACAACAAGAGAGCCCTAAACTATTATCATGATTCTAACGGTTTTCTGTTTGTTGATTATTTCAGTTGATGGAGGCTATGCTGCCTGGAGTCAGTGGTCCCTGGTTCCCTGCTCTGCAACATGCGGAATTAATGCCACAACAGTCCGTACACGGTCAAGGACCTGCACCAACCCAGTGCCAAATCATGGGGGAGCACCCTGTCCAGGTCCCTCTTTTGATACAAGCACTTTCCCTTGTGGTCTTAACTCATGTCGAGGTACGATGAGATATAAAACAATTACTAATGGTATTTGTATATAATATATGCGTAGGAAAAACACCTTTGTTTTATGCGACTCATTCGATTGCATGCTTTAATGATTTTAATTGAAAACGTATGCTTAAGACGAGAACAAATGAGGATATTGATTTCTGTCAGATGTGAAGCAAATTGTGAAACAAACCACCAGGGTGTCCTAAAATATAATCATGATTCTAACGGTTTTCTGTTTGTTGCTTATTTTAGTTGATGGAGGTTATGCTGCCTGGAGTGAGTGGTCCCCGTTTCCCTGCTCTGCAACATGCGGAATTAATGTCACATCAGTTCGGACACGGTCAAGGACCTGCACCAACCCAGTGCCAAATCATGGGGGAGCACCCTGTTCAGGTCCCTCTTTTGAAAGAAGCTCTTTCCCTTGTGGTCTTAACTCATGTCCAGGTACGATTGGATATAAAACACTTGCAGCTATATCCATGTTGGGGAAAACTTACTTTGTTTTATTTGACTCATTCGATCGCATGCTTAAAAAAAATGCAAAACGTTTGTCTAAGACGAGACATAATGAGGATATTCTTTTTTCAGTTGATGGAGTTGTCTCTACTTGGAGTGTTTGGAGCAATGCTCCATGTTCTGTGACGTGTGGAGTATCAGCAACAAAGACCAGAAGTAGGACGAGAACATGTACACCTCCCCAGAATGGCGGAGAGGACTGTTCCGGAGATTTGACTGAAACGCTCAGGCAGAACTGTTTCTTATGGGAATGCCCAGGTATCTAACAAGTACACCTTCTACTCCAATAACAAACATCACTACAGTTACATTTTGAGACAAACAACAAGAGAGCCCTAAACTATTATCATGATTCTAACGGTTTTCTGTTTGTTGATTATTTCAGTTGATGGAGGCTATGCTGCCTGGAGTCAGTGGTCCCTGGTTCCCTGCTCTGCAACATGCGGAATTAATGCCACAACAGTCCGTACACGGTCAAGGACCTGCACCAACCCAGTGCCAAATCATGGAGGAGCACCCTGTTCAGGACCCTCTTTTGATACAAGCACTTTACCTTGTGGTCTTAATTCATGTCGAGGTACGATGAGATATAAAACAATTACTAATGGTATTTGTATATAATATATGCGTAGGAAAAACACCTTTGTTTTATGCGACTCATTCGATTGCATGCTTTAATGATTTTAATTGAAAACGTATGCTTAAGACGAGAACAAATGAGGATATTGATTTCTGTCAGATGTGAAGCAAATTGTGAAACAAACCACCAGGGTGTCCTAAAATATAATCATGATTCTAACGGTTTTCTGTTTGTTGCTTATTTTAGTTGATGGAGGTTATGCTGCCTGGAGTGAGTGGTCCCCGTTTCCCTGCTCTGAAACATGCGGAATTAATGTCACATCAGTTCGGACACGGACAAGGACCTGCACCAACCCAGTGCCAAATCATGGGGGAGCACCCTGTTCAGGTCCCTCTTTTGAAAGAAGCTCTTTCCCTTGTGGTCTTAACTCATGTCCAGGTACGATTGGATATAAAACACTTGCAGCTATATCCATGTTGGGGGAAAACCTACTTTGTTTTATGTGACTCATTCGATCGCATGCTTAAAAAAAATGCAAAACAATGTCTAAGACGAGAAATAATGAAGATATTGTTTTATTCAGTTGATGGAGTTGTCTCTACTTGGACTTCTTGGAGCAATCCTCCATGTTCTGTGACGTGTGGAGCATCAGCAACAAAGACCAGAAGTAGGACGAGAACATGTACACCTCCCACGAATGGCGGACGGGACTGTTCCGGAGATTTGACTGAAACGCTCAGGCAGAACTGTTTCTTATGGGAATGCCCAGGTATCTGACAAGGACACCTTCTACTTCAATAACAAAGAAGGAGTACGTATATACTCCGATACGTATTGTTCCTCACAATAAAGAAGTTGACATCCATGAATTCTCTTCCTTATGTGCATCACTTCTAAATTCATTTTAAAGACTTAACATAACTAGTTTCATTGTGAGAGAAACCACAAGAGAGCCCTAAAATATCATTATGATTCTAACGTTTTTCTGCTTGTTGCTTATTTAGTTGATGGAGGCTATGCTGCCTGGAGTGCGTGGTCCCTGGTTCCCTGCTCTGCAACATGCGGAATTAATGCCACAACAGTCAGGACACGGTCAAGGACCTGCACCAACCCAGTACCACAGTATGGAGGAGCACTTTGCCAAGGTTTATCATTTGAAACGGGTCAAGTCGCTTGTACACCGGAACCCTCGTCAGGTATAAATATTTATAAATATAGAAAACTCACTTTACTCCAAGACATAAAGCAACACTAAACTTCATCAGTATAAAATAAGGACTTAAATGTCCCAGTGGAGAATGTAAGACAGCTAAGCATGTACATAATGTCCTACGATGGTGATACAGTAACACGTACAGCTCTCGTCAATGTTTCCTTTCATTTTTACAATGTATTATCTGCTTCATACGTTTCGCCTATTGTTCATACGTTCGTATGCCTTCCTATTGAAAACCAAGGTGGACAGTGAGAAAGGTGTGAGTGGTTGTTGTGGTGTATGAATGAACATGGATATTCCTATTCTTCTTTGAAATGCTTCATTTTCTATCTCACTAACCTGTGCTTGATTTGCAAATTGTACATATGTTTTTAATTAAACAACACAACCTGGCATCCTAGTATCTTCCAATTGGTAAGTACATTATAATCTTTAAACATAGATGCTTACGTCAACTTGTGAACAAGTCAAGCAACTGCAAAACAGTACAATCAACATATGATCGATATTACTTTGCCACAAATGAAATATGATTTAAAGGAAACTCGTCGGAATTAAATTTAATGCGTCCAGAATGTTTCGTTGTGATGCGTTCTATAGGTAGTTCGGGTGTAACGTATCAGGTGAACCGTATCAGGTGAAACGTATCCTTAACAATTGCTCCTGGTATCAACTTTTCCGTTTTGTGTTTCCGGGGCTGGCGCTTTCTGGTCTGGACGATATCCGAAGGAAAGCAGGCACAAGAGACGACAGCAACATCACGTGGACATATATTTCATCTCAAGTCAACCATTCCTGACATTTAGAGATGTATACAAGTCGTGTTATAAACTTCGGACTCCCCCAACAGAGCTTTCTTTACACACAGAACATCGCAACTGTAATCAGACGTCAGGGAATGAATACCATGAGCCTTTATTAAGTGTATGATATGTATTTTGAATAATATATAATTCTTTCAAAGTATCTCATGTTTGTCTATGAAATGAAGCAGTCACTCAGACAGTAGACAGATCGACTATATAAAATAATGTTAAGTAAGTTAGAGCTGCATTAAGCTCACCCACAAAATCATCATTTTCCTCTGTAATTTTTGTAAACGATCAACATTGTCGATGTATATTCCAGACCTGCTTGATCGATTGAGCTTCAACTCGTATGTGAGTATCTGTCCACAAGGGGTTAAAGTGTGGTCTACGTGAAACGTGAAAATGTCTTCTTTGACATTGTGTCAGAAACCAAAAGGAACAAGAAACTACAGACAGGGAACTGATCACTGAAAACAGAAATCAGCTTGGTCTACAATGACATTCTGTCAAACAATTACATATATCACAGGAATGATATTCTCACTGGAATAATGCATATAGTTTACATTACATTGATATTCCAATTGAGACTTTAACAAACGGCTATTTCTGTAACAAGGAAAAGACAATAAAAAGACATTTCATCTTCAAAAGACACCTCTGTCATTATACAGTATGACACATAAACGTACTGAACACTCTTTGTTGAAACCCTTTTATCTTACCTTACAGTAAGATACTAGCTTGCATTGTATGTTTGTTTGTTGGTTGTTTAACACCACACTCAGTAATATTCCAGCTTTTTGACGGCGGTCTGTAAATAATCAAGTCTGGACCAGACAATCAAGTGATAAATGGGCTACACTATTCTAGCCCGAATCTTCACGGGTCTACTAGCTCCTGATTGGTTTAGGAGCGGTCAAATATGTTCCATGTTGTCCACTCACAGGCGGGTACGAATTTCATATAGCCTGCTGAGAAATCAATCGAAAACAAGACAGAATTCTCCCGTTTTGTACCTGAACAGCTACAATATGATATATTAGATTAGCTTGGCAGGATAGTAATTAGATGGGTGGATTGTGAGTTCCTTCTCTCCCCTCCACAGACACCAGTTATAACCAAGTCCCCTTCCCGAAGCAATGGCTCTTATCGTTCCTTGATCTGCAACACAACAATTGGCATGTGGACATCCTTTCCATCATATAGTAAATGAGTGAGTTAGGTTTTACGCGGCTTTTAGCAATATTTCAGCAATATCACGGCGGGGGACACCAGAAATGGGCTACACACATTGTACCCATGTCGGGATTCGAACCCGGGTCTTCGGCGTGACGAGCGAACGCTTTAACCACTTTGCTACCCGACCGCCCCCAGACATATTGTAAACATAGGCTCACATACAGGGTACATCACACCCCATGTGCCCCGAGGGATCGGTTGACAACGAATTTATTCACCGACATCATTCATACAGACCCGGAATATATGTCCGCAGTTTCACTTAGTAAAACGTTTTGACGGCTAGCAGTCGACGAAACCGAACCGAGTTACTTCCCTTTTCCCAATGCAATCGTATAAACATCAGTTCATTTCAACTCAACAATACTTATTGGAGATATGCAAGTTACCTACGATGTGCTCCTATTGACTTCTCAGCGGGCTACGTGGAAAATAACTGCCCGCTCACTGACAAGTCAGAAGCTAGTATTTTAATGTAAGTTGAGAAAATAGTTTGTGTTTCGCCATCAAACAAAGGAACTATGGATACAGCCTCAATAATTAAATATTCTAGCGAAACAACCGAGGATTTCATTCTGCATCCTATGACCCTTGCCTGGCTTGCAATTATTGTGCGGCAAGTTATTTTGAGTCTTAAGTTCAAGATAAAGGGATTCGGTTGGCTGGTTATACTGGTGAAACATGTCATTGTTATTATCAAGTTTTGTCAATACATGTCTTACAGATTACATAATAATACTATTATTCAAAATGTGTGTAAACTACGTTTTAACATCACTTTTAAATTTTGGAAGTGAAACTTGCATGACCACGTACATGACCCCACGTACATGTTTGTAGGGGGGAGAAGAAAGTGTTTCAGGTGGTCATGGGCGAGATTGTCCATGAACGATTTGAAAATCTTACAGCCCAGCCTCTTCCTCGGGTCCAACTGGTCAGTGATGTTCACGTCATGTGTCTGTTGTCTAAGTGTTGGTTCCCGAGTGGAGAAATATTCCTTGTACTCATCCATCCCTCCATACCTCTCTTCCATCCCTCCATACCTTCGCCACGCGGACATAATTCTATCAAAACCAATTCAGAGTTACATCTATGACTTTGTATTATCAAAATAAGTCATCTGTTCACGAATTTACACTCATTCCTTGACGCACATTATATAATCCATAAGTTCCTTTACTCGGTTGCAGATTCGTGTATGAACTGAATGATTAATGTGTCTTTTAATTTGTTTTTCTTTACTTCATGATTTCTTGATTCGTTAATGCGTGCTTTTGTTAATGCATGCATTAGTGATCTTTGTCTTCAGGCCATGTCTGTTTTATGTGGATACAGCATAAAAGATGACAGCAAGGAAACTGGATACTGATATCTTATAATAGGTGTAATCGAACAATGCAACGTTTTGTGTGGATACAACAGAGATATTCGCATGATTCGTGACGATACACTTTGCGGCGTGTTTTCATACTGAGCGAGGACGGCATGGTAAGACGGTTGATGTGCCCCACCCTTGAGCACGGCACCATTTTCACCTTCCATGGCTGGGGAACAACATTTGGTGTACATGAAGAAAATACATAAAAAAGGTAAATAAAAATAGGACACAATTATGAATACAATGAAACGATGAATAACTGAGAGTTATGGCACGTGGTCCTGTGCACAGCGCACAGGTCACAAATCAGGTGAAGCCATCAATCTATACAGCAAGGGCAAAGAGGACTTAAGGTGATGGTTAAGTGCAGACGTTTACCACTTCGGTGAAACCCACGAGCACGGGCATGGTGCTGACAAACCTAGAAACATAATGGAGGCGAACCGGGATTCGAACCCAAGATCATAGGTTTCTGGCGTGCCCAGTGGAGACAACTCTGTGCGGCGAATCGTGGCGTCTTAGACGACCGGTTGACCCGTGCCCCCGCAAGGGCAAGGAGGACATAAGGTAATGGTTAGGCAAGGGCAAGGAGGACATAAGGTGATGGTTAGGCAAGGGCAAGGAGGAAATAAGGTGATGGTTAGGCAAGGGCAAGGAGGACATAAGGCGATGGTTAGGCAAGGGCAAGGAGGACATAAGGTGATGGTTAGGCAAGGGAAAGGAGGACATAAGGTGATGGTTAGGCAAGGGCAAGGAGAACATAAGGTGGTGGTTAGGCAAGGGCAAGGAGGACATAAGGTGATGGTTAGGCAAGGGCAAAGAGGACATAAGTTGATGGTTAGGCAAGGGCAAGGAGGACATAAGGTGATGGTTAGGCAAGGGCAAGGAGGACATAAGGTGATGGTTAGGCAAGGGCAAAGAGGACATAAGTTGATGGTTAGGCAAGGGCAAGGAGGACATAAGGTGATGGTTAGGCAAGGGCAAAGAGGACATAAGTTGATGGTTAAGTGCAATTCTATACAGCAAGGGCATTGTGGCCATACATGTAAGGTGATGTTAAGTGTAATTCTATTTAGCTAGGACATTGAGGACATAAGGTGATGGTTAAGTGTAATTCTATATAACAAGGGCAAAGAGGACATAAGGTGATGGTTAAGTGCAATTCTATATAGCAAGGACAAAGAGGACATAAGGTGGTGGTAAAGTGCAATTCTATATAGCAAGGACAAAGAGGACATAAGGTGATGGTTAAGTGCAATTCTATATAGCAAGGACAAAGAGGACATGAGGTTGAGGTGCAGTTCAATATAGCATGGTTGGTTAATGAACATAAAGTATCTGTTAAGTGCACTTCTTTGTAGCACCGGAGGTAACCAATTCACGTTACATTCACAATGAGAATCGAGCACCACAATGACATCTGCATATGGGGAAAGCTAGTGGTAAAGGGACCACGAGGTCGGTATTGAGTTAGTCTGGATTCATAATCTACAAAGTCATCCCTCCAATATGAAAAAAAAGAAATGAATAGCTTTAAAATTGACGGTCTAGTGCCTTGTCAAAGAATGGAATGATAAGAACTTGAGAAATCTGTTTAAGTGAGAACGTGTGCTGACATTGGTGTGTGTTTTCTTTTTACCATAAAACAATAATTATAAGGAAATAACTGTGTGCTCAAAGGTATAACCTCGCTGAATCGATAAAAGGATAAGACAAAATACATCTTCTAATTTCAGGGGACCAGTTGGTCGTAATACGCTCGTGATATTTAGCTGAACGTTTATTATAAAAAAAGCCCATAATTGTCATTATTTTGGACACTAATTGAGTTGACAAAAAAACACACTGTTTTTAGTCGCACTGTCATGAACAAGTTGTTTTATTCATGTACAACTGTTGAGTCCCATGAACCTCCACCGGAAGCTTGGGCAGACCTTATGTGGGGCAGTGAGAAACATATCGCGATCTCTGTTATACCCCCATCACACCAAACTAGTTCTCAATACGTTCGTGAAAATGTTGTCGAACGGGCTCCAACTGTGTATGAACGTAGTGGACGTAGTAGCAACTATTGACAGTCTTTTTACAGACTTCATGGACGGGCTCGGACGGGGAGGGTGCTCTAGAACTTTGAGTCTGCTCAAAATTTTATCCCGTCCATCCCGTCCATCCCGTTCTGCAATTAGTCGGATTGACAACGTACTTAAAACGAGAAAGACGTATAACGAACGGAATTGCCGTACGTCGTACCTACTTGGGACGTGTTTCGACGTGGTGCAGTCGGACATAAATTGTAGTACGTGTGCACACCGACCGGGTCGACTTCTCTTTGGAGGCATGATGTGTACAGTTCGGAGCCCTGAACTTGAATGAAGACCGGCTACAACGCGCTCGGTATCAATAGGAGTCGGGCCAGGACGGGCCAGGACGCGAATACACACGCACTTGACGAGATGAGGACGTACGTACTGCGAACGAGTTGGTCGGGTTAGGAATTAGTTAGAACTGGCTTGGACGTATTGTGAACGAGGTAGAACGAGGTCGAACTGGTTAAGAACGGATTGAGTGAGACATGCCAATAGTTCATCACGTTGTGTACGATGCATGTTTAATCTGATCACAAATACTGTCTTAAGGCAAGAGTTGAGAGCTTACGTGTCGCATGGGATAATGATAATCAACAACACCAAGTTGATGACCTTTCATTGAAATTCACGAATGAACCCCTATACCCATACAATGAGGAGCTGCATGGCCAAGGTGAAATATTTCAGGTGCGTTCTATCGATCTCTGGCAGCCGTATTTTCAAAGATGATCTTTCTGACGATCGATCGTAACATTTATATTTCCTGATCCCCTACATTTTTGGGAGAGTATATAATTATAGATTTGGGGGAATGTCGTTGTTAACACCTTGGCTTACATCACAGCGGCGAGACGAACCAGTGACCGATATAGTGAGCACCGTCGGGTATGATACGCAATCAGACAAATATCGAGCCAGGCCAACCAACCATGTTGTTGCCTTGTAAGCAAAGATTGCTGGAGACATATTCTAACCAGGAATTAGTTATCACCAAAGGCCAGTGATCTGATTCAGAAATTCGGAATTAGAGTCGAGTTGAGTCTCGTCGACAGCAGTTGTCATCGCTCGCGTATTTCCATACCCTATAACGCTTGTCCCGAAATGGCAGGAGTTGGTCAAGAATGTCTTCGACAGGCCAAACACAAGCTCCTCGCAGTCATTGCCCGTTCCCGGAGCTCTCATACTATCGCTGCAACACGGCTTCCAACTATGCTACCATACATGGAGTTTAACTTGCAAGTGACTGACCGTTGTGTTTACGAACAAGTTGTGACTCTCGAGACACCGAATACTCTTCCCCCATCTAAATGATCTTTGTTTACCAACCCCTTCCTTGGCAAACGCCCCATTCCCTAGACCACGGAGGCAGATAACATAATTGTCAAATACGCGTAGAGTACATGGAAAAGGGAATGTTCTTACTGTCTCGCAAGGCACCATGTTTTGTTTTGGAAGCTGACAACCTGGTAATATTATTGTTTCTTATCAAACAAGATATGTATCTGGCAAGAAGGTATGAATGCTGTCTACGCAATGTCAACATGACATTGGACATGCTGAATGCTGTCTACGCAATGTCAACATGACATTGGACATGCTGAATGCCAGCAAGTTCTGGCATTAAATTCTCGAATTGAATGGAACAGTTTGCCATGGCGTGCAGTTGAGACTATCACGATGTAATCAATCCATGAAAGAGATCATGTATCCAGTCATAATACACTTGAACCACATTTATCATGACCATATGCTCCCGTCGTGAGAAGGAATAGTATTGAATAGACTTAACATGTTGACTTTGTTATTGAACCCCATACAACATGCGGTAATTACTCATGGTCACCTGTCATCAAGAGTCCATGCCTTAAAGCTTCACTTATCTATACAATACACCCCCATTATCTACGCACCCTGCTTACGCAAGCACAGACACGGGTCTTTTGTTCTGTTAGATATTCGTTGTAGAAATCTTTACAAAGTTTTAGGTTGTCACTGAAGTAGCAATCAAAAGCCTGTACATAAGTGCTGGTGCCGCTGTACAACATTCACCGTTCACCTGATATGTTCACAGAGTAACAGCAACCATGAAGCTGTTGAAGGTAAGTCTATGTCTTTATAGATCGTCCATTCACCATCTTAAATACATATATCTTTCCCATCATGTCGAGCAATATTCCTGAAGCTCCAGCCCTTGGCGTCCACATTTCACAACGTAATTTGACGCACCAGTGACAAAAATGATGTCCGATGCAATTCCCTATTTGAGTTGTTCCCATGCGTTTTCATGTGAATCATTGACTTGCTTTTGCATGTGTTTATGACGGGTGCCGCTTGTGGGGCAGGATACGCTCTCCTTTTCGCGAACACCAGGGATCATCACTGTCATAAACACACGCTGAACTATAGTCGGAATCGAACAATCCACTTTTGCTACAGATTTCTTATGAATATGGTAAAGGTTTTGTCACTGTCATTATTTCTGTAAAGGATTCATTGTTTAGAAGAACGACATTAAAACGTTGGCATACAGGACATCTGTCATTCCTCTGTACAGAAAGGGGACATCTTTACCTTCTGATAATAGACCCCTGCCACTATTATCATGAATCAGTCAGTTTTTTGAGTTGATCGATTTCCAGAGATTGCATTATCATCTTATAGATCATAACTTACTGTGTAAATACCAATCACGATTTATACCAGGACACTCAAGTACTTTTCAACGACGATATATATATATATCACCAAATATGTAATTCTTAGATTAACATGAATATTTCTGTAAAGTTTTCCGTATTAATATTTCTTTATTTCTTTATCGAAAGTGTTTGGCACGTATCAGACTGTTCACTTCTTTTTTACGTTAGTTCAACATTGACAAGGCAAAGCAATGACAAATGGTCATTTATGGAGTCAATATCACTTCACGCCGTTTGTTATTCTCTTGAAATGTTTCGTTAGAAAGTTTATATCTCTCATTTAACTCGTCAACCGAGACTGTTCGAATCGCAAAGCGCCATTTTAGATACTTAGATACCAACAGCGGTCTCGAAGTTTTCAAGAATATTTTTTTGCAGTTGATTTTGTATATAATCATATCTAAGTGTATGATACAGAATTTATGTGAACCTAAGTACTTTTTGATACTTTTGTTTAATTTTTTAAAGATTTTGCAAACACAAACTTCTTTTTATGTCGCAATTACAAGGGGTGGTGAACCGTCCCTGTCTTCGGTAGGGAGAATTTACGTTTCACGGTTTTCCATTTGTCATGAAATAATTACATTTTCCTGTAGACAACTACACACACAGTATATAATAAATAGGATAGTCCATGTGTCGAGTGAAATATCATTCTCTCATCTCTTGAAGGGGGACAAGGAGATATTTTCACGAGTAGCACCACCTCGAGTAAAAATATCTCCTTTTCCCCCGTCACTCGATGAGAGAAACATGAAATATTCTCTATTTATTAAATACGTTAAAACAATATGGTATCAAAGTATCAGTCCTTAAGCCATTGTTATTCTTCATTTATGTTAATGATATGTATGTTATGAAATGATACTCCTGTTCGTCGATAATACCAGCACTGGCAGATCAGCTCTAGATATCAATCGCATTGAAAACTCCATAAATAAACATCCATGCAAGTCTAGACTGACATGTACCGGGATCTTGTAAGAGAAGGCTAGTTCTTCACAATCCCTTTATAAATGCAACATGTATGTTTGAACAGTACGAGATTGACACGATTGAAAGAACGATAAACCAACGTTGGGAATATGAATCAGTTATGAACAAGTCAGCGGGGGATACAAACCTAATCTGACACACCTGGAGGCATGGGCATACGATACCCTCCGCAGTCATGGCTGAATGGATATCAATATACACCGACATTCTTTACGTACATGTAAGGCGTCTGTTGGTATGACTTTGTGCTCATTGCTCAACTCGACGTGTCGAGAATCAGGAGCAGTCAATGTATATTCAATATGAAACGAATAATAATTATCACAAACAACACACCAAAACGTAAGAGTTAACAAAACGTGAATTATTTCCAGGTTGTGCTTTGCTTTTTGTCGAGATATGTGGTCTTTGAGAATATTTATATTTAATGCATGTTACCATTGCGTCTACAGGCATAAAAACCATTCAGTGTCCATTACATATTTAGGATTTAAACAGATGTCTGAGGTCAGAGGTTAAAATAATTCATCAAAATATGATAATATTATCACACCAAATGATCACTGAAAACCTGTTGTAGGTAGGGCTGAAACTGTTATCCGATACTCGAGAATGACTCGAATATGGTAACTCATTGAGTTGTAACGTAAAACTCGAGTATTCGGAGACTTGCCTTCCTTTGTTTGATTCAATTATCTCCCTTGCTTTGCTGTCAGAGAGGACCCCAACCCAATCTCATCAGAATCAGATCTTAGTTCTCGCTGCCGCTAAACAAAGATCTGAGGACAACCCATTACGGGTCACGTCAGGACCCCAACCCTATTGGAATAGATTCGTTCTTTCTACAAATGGGCCAGTTCATTCATTGTAGCATAGACATTGACATTTCTCTACTAACCAACGGGTATCTATTTAACTTGGTATTATCGTGCTTCATACCCCATTCAATACAAACCATTCATTCTATTGCACTGTTCTCTAAACACTAATCATACTTACCATAGAAAGTTAATTCAATTATCATCTCTTCTTTTAGATATGGTTCAACACATTCGCAGTCCTCCAGTTCATTCTGCATCAAAGAGGTAAGTTGTTCTATTCAAACGCTGAGTGGACATGTAGATATGTTGAACAGAATAAGCAACATAACGTGTAACATCTAAGATATGTGCTTACACTGCGAGCATCGATAAGCATGTGTTTAGACCCACGTCACATACATGTACTTTCCATTTTGCACGAATACATATTGAAGTGACACATCAATGCACTATCTGTGAAATTTATTTATTAACATGAACTTGTCAATACCATTGATATAGAAACTTCGAAATAATAACTCATATATCATAAAGTGGCAATTCGATTTAAACGTTGGTCACTTTGCTTGCTTTGTAACACCGTCACATTTAAACCCTAATTCATTCAGTTATTCAAAAAGTTAGTCCAATTATATATTTTTTTATTTTGGTTATTTTGGTCGGCTGTAATGTATCAGTTCATTTCAAATCCTGGTCAATTAATCGTTCCTTGTACATCCTACATTATGCAATAGCCACAGTAATTAAGGTGCTGTGATCTGAATATAGTGCTTGCCGGAACACCCGACCTTTGAGCTGGAATCTCCATTCTCGATCTTTTGGTGTGCTGTATATTTTGTAACGTGTGATTATTACACGTGCAGAAACTTTGAACTTACTTTGATGACAATTTTTAGCTAATTTCCCCTGTCACACCAGTATTATAGATGATGGTTGAGCTTCCGCAACGCACCCTGGATCAGGCTCGAACTCTATCAATGCTTCTATGGAGTCTTAAGTTTATGTGAATTATGTGATGACTATCCAAGCATCGTCATGTATCAAGATGCCATCGTAAATCTAGGAAATAATTTATACTTAATCTCCTACCACTTCTTTTGTTTGGGCACGGAATTCTGTTGTCTCCCATGTTCTATGAACGTTCTTTCACTAATGCTACTGATCTTACGAGATTTTGATCAAATCTCCTGCTTCATTGTGGTGAATTTGTCGAGTTCTGCCAACACACGAATGCTATCATGTTTTAATGCTTTCTTTTGCAACTTATGAGAAAAAAATTAAGAGGTATTCCAGTGACTCCAGCTGCTACTTCCATGCCAAGTATGATAGGCGCAGCGATTATTGTTGATGATAAACCAACACTAGTTTGTGCTCCATGCTGGCTGCTGCAAGCTGAAGTGCACCTTCAACTCAATCAATCATTAACAACTCTGCGATACATTTTATATAATCAAATTCTAGAATCACGCTCCTTCTCTATTTGATGTTTTATTTTACTTATTTGATGAAATCCATCAACTGTATCCATCTTTCTTTCTTTAACTAATCGATCTTGAGAATATACATAAGCCTTATTAGATGTATATAATATGGCATAAATATCTTAGTAAGCAAAATGCTCCCGGCATCAACTTGGATCCCCAACTCTTCCAGACTGTTTAAAAAGTACAATGTTGACGTTCATGTCTCTTAAACTATTTAAGTCTTAGACCCGGTAATATAACGAGGGCATCTTCTAGTGGATCCCCCAACAAGACTTCAACAAAAAGCGTAGCGCTTGATGGTATAATCATCAAGTTATTTAATACATCATTGAATTCAGTAACCAAATGTAAGCTTATCTTTCAATCCTGGGCGGCTCAATAACATATGACCTGGGTTATCTGGCAGGGGAGCAACTGACACACTCTTTCGTTTTGAGGGGATATAAGCCCCGAGTATGATCCCACTATTCATTATCTTAGTTAAATGATGTTCCTTACCTGTCATTATCCCATTTGACGGACCAATGATGATATTCAGTAGCCATTCCATTTTTGTCACAAGCATAATCTATTTATTGTTATCGGCGTGAACAATATTGTATGAAGTGTTTGTATAGAGCCTGCTAACAGGGACATGATTTAAATCCCCCAGATTTGCTGTGGTGGCATTAGGTTAATATAATTTCTTTCTGCTTGTATACATTTTCTTGTAAGTGTAAAGCATATAACTTGCCCTTAATACCGGGTTCATCAAAACTGTGTGTCTCCTATATCGGAAAGTGCAATTGCATTACATTGTCTTAGGTTACCACCACTATGCCCAGCTATGTTGGACGACGCTAGGGATCTCCAAGTACGAGAATTCATGAGATCAATATCAGTTTATTGTTAAAGTTCCTCACTAAGATATATTCCTTGTCCCATAAAACTGGTTTTATTAGTCTCTCCTTTGGCTGAAGTAGTGTATGTTAGGATTATCTAGATTAATATCATCCATTTTTAGATTCAACATAGGAAAACATAATTTCAATATAAACGATGTCTTCACAATATGGTCGCAAGTTAAATCCACAATGTAGACTTCGGAATCCATTAGGAATCAAAGCAATTCGCCAGTCTGTAACTGTAACTTATTAACCGAGTCTGGTTCACTCTCCTAATCTGTGTGCTCATGATGTGTTAGTTCCAGGAACTGTCCGACTATCATTTACAATTAGTTTGTCTTCTACTGATGTTAATGGGGAGCTTGTCCAGAACATAGGTCGTGCAATTGTAATGAAAATCATGATTATAAGTAGCGGTAATGAGGTCTTGAGTATTGACAACAGCAATTTTATCTGTTGCATGGATTTACGGAGAACAGCAAAAGAACGGGGAACATTACAATACAAATGTTTTGACACAAGCACTAACCAGAATCCAATGAAACTGCGTGTAGGTTCTGCTTGTGATGATAATATCATCGCAAAAGATAAGGCTGTTGCTGATGCATTAGGTAACCGATTCTATATTCGGCTTGACTTTGAATTACTAGATAGTCACATGCCTTTCTATTAAGCATCCCCAGGCGATAAGTCAGAATATAAAGTCACTTTTAATGACTATCAAGAAGTAATCAAAACCACTGATGAAGCTAGTTATTCCACTGGCAATATCTCACTGGAGTATGACATGGTAACAGATCCTGAATAAGCGAGACCAATTCTTAACCAGTATACAGGAGGTTTAGCCATTTTGTATGATCGTGTGCTTTGCCATCACAAGATCACCAGTGATAAAAGTGCTTCGACATGGAATATCAATCTGAATGTGCCCGCTAGATCACTAAAGGGTATTTTAATGTTGTCCAAGGACCCTTATGAACATTTTGCTGGAGATACCGAGGGATTCTATAACCCCTAGATTACAAAAGTAGAATTGACTGTCGAGGGCGTGCCTAATGAACTTTATTGTCACCGCATGCGAGCATATCAACAGTAGGATGAGATTAAAAAACTCGCTTCTCTAAGACGTGGCCCAGAAGTTAACGTGGTCACAAAAGATCTGGCTCTTGCAGATGTACCATTGGCTGAATTCCTTACCTCGAAGTATGCGCTATGGCTCGACATGTGAACCACAGATGTTAACCAACTACACGATAGTGGGCGGAGAATAGAGATTGCTAGTGAGGGTATTACTATACAAATAATGAAGAAAACTGAAACGCCTGGTAAAATAAACTTATATTTGTACGTGATTTTGGATGCGAAACTTAATATACAAAATTGAAGATTCATGCAAGCGATCTAATAATAATCTTTTAATTAAAGAAGCTCAGTGCGCTATCATCTGTGTGTGAAACAGCTTTTACTCTCGATATTTTACAAGGCCATGATTACATTTCTTTCGCACATATTATTATTCTGAGCCCAACTATAAACGTTAATAAAACATACCATAAAGATTGGGTGATTGATCCCGAGGTGAATAAAGTTGATCCAGACAAACGTTTACAACACTGTTTACGACTGTGTCATGATAAATTCAAAGGAGAAAAAACCCTTATCAGCAAAGACGACTGCAGTGCTTGTAAAGAACTTACCAATAAGAAAGATATGCTTTCTTATTTAGCATTCTCTGTTCGACATATGGAGCATAGTGTTTTGGTACTTACTCAAAAATACAACTCATTCTTGAAGACAGCAGAGAGCAGACACGATGGGTTGCCCTGTTTCATTGCAAGAACCGAGATTCATTTTAGGAATGTGTACGTGAAGTGATGTTTTTTTCTACCAAGAGTGAGCGAGATAAAGTTAGAAAACTGTTATCGGAAACGAAGCACTCTAACTTGTATGAAAAATTGACCAAGCAACTGCTTATGCAATTGCTAAGCAAAATACAGCAACTGCTTAGCAAAGTTGAGCAACTGCTTAGAAGATTTTAGGTATTGCTTAGCAAATTATTGCAACTGCTCAGCAAAATATAACAAAGTGTGGTAAATTGAACGCTTGCAACCATTTGTGCATAAAAATAATGTGGTTGGAAATACACATTCTTTTGTAACAGTTTATCATTTCGGGTTATATTAGATATATCATACTTAAATATCGGCTAGTGTATTACATGGAGAAGATGAAATGGGATGAACTGCTCCAAGATGAGACAGAACCTATAGTAGATAAATCTATAGAACAACATAGAGAAAGACTTGTGGCTTTGGTAGCTGGTGGGAAATGCTCCAAACACTTGGGGGAAAAGTAAACCACTGAAAAATTGTTAACATGACCGATGAAGAAATTAAAAAAATTCTATGCACGTTACGAGTCTAGACTGGGAGCTACCATGACTAAAACAACAGGTTCAGGTATGGTACAACTGTACACAGCTGTAGCTGGTACATTTCTTCCTATCCAAACTGAAAACCTTCTGTATTTATGCGAATCTCTCGAGAAAGACCCATTTGTTGAATATGCTTTAAGTGCTGTAAGCTGTGAGTTTTATTATGGTATGTGCATTATCCTTGGATAGTCATCACATAATTCACATAAACTTAAGATCCCCATAGAAGCATGGTTCAGGAATGGCTCAGGTGGCGATGGTCCAGAACCACTTTTCATTACAATTTAGCTTAAAGGACAACGATCCTTGGATAGTCATCATATAATTCACATAAACTTAAGACCACCGTAGAAGCATTGATAGGGTTCCTGAATGGTTCAGGGTGGGTTACGACAGAACCCCCATCTCCTATACTACTACATCCTTTTAAAAATGCACAATAAAGTAACCATCGCATTTTCCCATGTACATTTGACAAGGACAAGTTCATTTTTGTTTTGGATGTGTGGGGTGACCGATGTTAAGTTAATTAAGTGTTCATAGTTGGTAACAAAAAGTTCCCCATCGCATCACCTCCATCAAAGCCTTATATTTAATATCTGCTGGTCCCATTAAACAGTGTATATTCGTTGAAAAAATGACGAATATCCGGTCTAAACATATTGGAGGTCACTGTCTAACTCATTTTTCGTAACCTAGTCTTTAATAATATATCTATTTCATAGTGTGTTTTTGGTGTCAATCATAGAATAACGATTATCCCAGACACATAATATGTATAAAAGGTTAGTTTTCCTAAGCTAACTTCGACACTTTCTACTTTCAGTTCAAGGACCTGTCGTAGGCATCTTTGGTAAGGACAATATTTTAAACTGTAGATTACACTGTTGCATTTCAAATTCTATATCTATGTTTGTATTATATATTTGTATAACCATCTCTGAATTCCTTATGATATGTTTGTTTCCTCTTGAACCAATTTTAAGGACCGCCTCTGTGGTCAGTTGTATAGAGTGTCTGCCTTAAGAGCGGAGAGTTTGATCCCCTGAATGCGCCATACCAAAAGACATTAAAGGATGGTATTTACTGTTTCCCTGTCTGGCGCTCAGTATTAAGGGAATAAACAAGGACTGGGGAATTCATGTTAGACTACAACATGGTATCTTAGTGCGATAATCTTGAACGCAACGTTACACCCCCTTTCAACCCCCTTTTCCAATTTTCCCACTTGGATGTCAGAACAGGGTCCTCAGTAATAGAATCGGGTGGTTACGATGAGCGACCTGGCTGACCGTGTGTCAGGATACTCTGACAGCGAGGACGTTGCTCATCGTTTCAACCACTGGTTTGCCTGACCAAGACACGGTTATTTAGAGACTGCTGTGGTATAACTTAAATAAACTTTAATTTAACTTTTTATCCTCGTCGAAGTAAAACAGTAAATTAATCAAACGGAAAGGTCTCAAGTTCACTTACGTTTCCACTTCGGTATATTTTTTCTTCATAACTTCATATCATTTTATTAGGAGTTTGCAAGTGCCAACGCCGTTACCAATAATCTCCGCCACTTGAAACAGAATATCGAAATATCGCGATGATTAATTAACGAAGATAGCTGCATGTGGGCAAATACTTTTTAAGTGAAAACAAGCTATTCCCTGATCAGGAATATAACTTACAGTAATGACAAAAATTGCAAAGTGCGCTTTTCAAGAAATATCAATTTTGATAGCGATAAACATCATGATTGAATTTTGATCATATGGTTACAATCGGGGTAAGAATCGGCATGCAGGTGTCTGCTAGCTGAACTTGGTCAATAGCGATTTGAATACTACCTCTGCAACTTTTACGTTCAGGTCGTGTTGGTAATGTACGTTCGCTACTAAATATAGCCTTAATATTGTCACCAGACTGCCGAAGCTTACCCGGAGTGTCACCACGTGATCAAGCCTCAATGATGTTCATGGCGATATTTGGTGATTCTATTTCAAGTGGCGAGGTCTATGACCCTCAATGATTCTTTGCTTCTGCCAACTCATGAAGTGTTACTGTGCATGACAAGACCTAGATACAGCTTGTTTGCGTTATGCCTCCATATTGGTGTACATATGACATCTAAAACAGACATGTAAAATATAATTTCTGAATCTTTTTTCTGCAACAGGTTATAGTTTATCGAATACAATATAGAAACAAATCCTAAATTTAATTTAACTTTCAAATCTTCAAACAACATACTGTATCGTTAAATTCATATCGTTAAATTATATCTTAGTTTTCAACAAACTGACAATTTCAGGATCATATTGGTTTATCCTGTCAGAACCATGGAATACAATAAAATAGTATTTTATTTGCTTCTTTCTGTAGTATACAAATAAATAGTCTACGAGTCAGTTGGCGTTTCACCTTTGTGGATGACATAAAAGTTCGTCCAATGCGCCGGAATTCGATTTATAGAGCTTCTTCCCTAAAGTGTACCAGAAACATATCATCGTGGGTTTGTTTTAGTTTTTAAAAAATAATATAAACGGATTAGCTGATGGCAGAGTTCACAATGAACACCACAAACATGCTGCACACTGGACTGAGACACAATTGAAGCACACAATATTTAGACCTGTTTCGTGTAAACGTATCTGATACTACTATCGTAGTGATAAATATGTTAGAAACTGATATACTGTGCTTTATATAAATGGTGTTAACAAACTGTAATAAAGATAAGTATTGTATAGTGTAACAAAGGAGGGAACGTAGAATCAAGAACTTAGTGCATGTGCATGCGTAGAATAGACATAATATATTAATGTATGTATTTGCTATGGAGCTAGCCGGAGTCCCGGAATGACCGGCCAATGACCCGACAAGGTCAGCGGCCAGGGATATCTAGGCAGCTCCGGGCGAGGTTCGTCAGTCCGGGGGAATAAAGTAGAGAAAATACATCCGCGTGTTGTCGTACTTCCAACAGAAAGATAAGTGGTAGGAGATGCGGGGCTCATGGCTTCTAGGGACGAACCATCTATTAGATCCCATCCCGTAACACGGAGTCAAGACAGACGTAGAAACCAAGCATCACAGACACCACCAGCCAAGACGCTTACTCAACCAACAATGGCACAGGAACCAGAAGTAATACCGCCTACTGTCAACATGTAACAAAAAAATTCAAGCACCCTCAACCCACCTTCCTGGTGGGGCACAGAACAAGCTGGTAAATACTGGTTCCAGCGTTTTGAACATTTCACGACATTAAAGTAATGGATAGATGCATAGAAATACTATAATGTTATAAAGGGACAAGGCCTTAACGTGGTATGATGGCCCACCACAGGCGTCACAGGAGTCCAGGGAATCCCTGCAACAGGAATTCCTCAACAGATACAGCAGTTTCATCTCTCGGAACAAGACCCAAGACAGTCTGTCGATGACATCGTGGCAGAGGTCACAAGTATGGTCAACCGCGACCTGGTCCAGATGAGACAAGTCGTTCTGATCTATACAGTCAGCGGTCTGCATGAGGTCACCAAAAACCTTAAGGGAAGTCACCGAGGCTGCACGAGTGCACGCCGAAAGTGCCCTACCCCCAATGGAAGCCACGAGCGGACTTTCCACATCCCTGGCTGCACTTCAATCACAGATGGAGAAACTTACAACCCTCGTTCACACCCAAGTGAACACAATGAACACCCGACCCCGGTCGAGGTTGCCGTCACCAGCTCCAAGAGTCTCCTTTCCGCCAGTGCCGTACGGACGACGACATCCTGCCTGTACTCACTGTGGTAAGTACAATCAAGCCAAGTCTCAATGTCCTGCACTGAGTAGACAATGTTTTAATTGTGGTCGGGTAGGACATTTAAGGGCAGTCTGTAGATCTGCTCAAGGCAACAGGCAGTTTAATCCACGTTATCAGTATAGGAGATAGGGATGCACACCTGCACAACGGAGACAAAGTTCCCGCTCTGCTTGTGACAGGATATTTGAATCAAAATCTGAAAATTCGCCAACTGATATTTTTGAAACATCTGTGTCAGATGCAAGATCTCAAATTCGAGTCAATGTGAAAATCTTGCACTTAAGTGTCAATGCCTTGGTCGATTCTGGTGCTTCAGTTAGTACCCTAACTGAAACTCTTTATCATAAGGCTAAACTTTCATCTCAGTGCCCTATTCAAAGATCAGAATTAGCTAATGTGTATGGTGTCGGAGGTCATGCTATTAAAGTTTTAGGACATGCCTTTGTACCCATTACCCATAACCATATATGAACTTCTCCCGTTCACAATACTTCCGTTCCTTTCAAACACAGCCAAGAACAATTGATTCAATTAGCAATGAATCTTGGTTTTGAATTTTCTAAATCAGATTTAACTCCAAAACAGAAAACGGAAATGTTAGCATTTTTGGGATCGAACCGAGACATTTTCGCTACAGATCTTAGTGGGATGCACAGATATTTACTATCACAATATCAATACAGGTGATGCTCAACCCGTTCGTCAACCATTCTATAGAACTAGTCCAAAAATGAGAGAGGAAATTGATAAACAGCTTTTGGATCATGACATTATTGAAAAGTCTATATCCCAAAGCAGGCACCCGTGGATATGGTTAAAAAGCCGTCAGGACAGTATCAGATGTGTTGTGACTTCCGTAAATTGAATGACGTAACGCTGCCGTCATTTCACAATTTGCCATGGATAGAAGATGTTTTTGACACTTAAGGTCAAAAACAAACAACTGTTTAGTGTCCTTGACCTCTTTAATGGGTTCCATCAGATAAAACTCGACCCTTCCTCAAAACACAAAACTAGTTTCGCAGTTCACAATGGTCAGTATCAGTTTAGGCGTATGCCATTTGGATTATGTAATGCGCCAGCCACTTTCATGATTGTCATGATTGAAGTACTGAGAGGTTTGTGTGGGAAATGTGCAATTGCATATGTTGACGATCTCCTTGTCTATTATAAGAATTTTGACCAACATTTGAAAGATCTGAATTTAGTCTTCACACGGTTAAGACAAGCCGGTTTGAAAGCAAAGCCCACCAAATGTAACTTTGCTGCTTCCCGTGTTACTTACTTAGGTTATGTTTTATCCAAGGATGGCATCACTGTTGATCCAAAGAAAATTGATACTGTTCAAAACTTTCCTGAGTCAAGATCAGTGCATGAAGTGCGTGCTTTTCTCGGCTTAGCAAATTTCTACAGTCGGTTCATTAAAAGATTTTCTCACATTGCTGCCCCACTAACAGAACTTCTCAGGAAGGATACACCATGTTTGATCAGATAGATGTGATTCCGTTTTTCATTCATTAAAACAATGTCTCGTTTCACAACCAATCTTAAAATATCCCGATTTTTCCAAACCCTTTATGCTCAGAACAGACGGCAGTGGCCATGCTATCAGTTACGTTCAGCGTGACGATGATAATCATGAATCTGTAGTAGCCTACGGGGGCAGATGTTTAAGAGATAATGAAAAGAAATGGAGTATTTCTGAACGTGAGTGTGTGGCATCACCTTACATGTTAAATTTATGTAAAATTATTACTCATTCATACTAAACACATGATCTATTCACAATTATACAGTATACATTAAACATATTAAACACATTAAACAAAACATTACAAAATATTTTTAATGTTTTGTTTCATTATCTTACAGATTACAAATTCATTCTTCAACCATGAATTAAACACCAAGTTGCCATTCGTATTACTACTACTTCTAATGGACAAATATGAAGATGGGACAAGTGCTGATAGCTGTAGTGACTGCAATATGGAAGACATTGTCACCGATGAACCGCCATGCAAAAAGCCCAGGAGTAGTACATCCTGCATCAT